TTCCCATTTTTCATCAGTGCAAATTCACTTCTCTTGGCCTTGAAAGCTCAACAGCGATAGTTTTTTTTCCACCACCCCCACCCAACCTGCTGCCTGCCCCCCCCCACATCTCTCTCTCTCCGCGTTCGCTCTCTCCTCTCGTCGTGCCGTCTTTGCCGCTGCTCAACAATGACGCGATGGGCGAACGAGCGAGCTAGCGAACGAGCGAACGAGCGAGCGAACGAGCGCGAGCAAGCGCGGCCGTGAGTTCTTTTTGGCAAGCGTGAGAGTCGCCCATTTATTTCGCACCCGGACCCCCTACAACCCATGGTGGTGCGCGACGCGTTGCAATAATTCTTCCCACCTGGTTCGAAAGGCGATCTCAGTTACCGCCGCCAGATATTAAATTATGGCCGACCATTCTTACGGTTTCCAAAGGGCGGAGGGAAAAATTACCGCAGTAATTAATAAAATTTAATAACGTTTAAAATGTAAAAAAAAACGAATTCGTGTTGGTTGAACACAACGGCCACGCTGACCCATCTCAGCAGTCAAGGACATATACAGTATATATCGCTGTCAAAATAAATATTTATTTGAAATAAAATTTTATTCCACGAATGGATAATAAGGGATTTAAATAACATTCATAAAAATGTGCCAGTTGTTTCACGAGTGAGATGGATAGTTGCTACTTACGTGCAAAATAGTTTGTATGAAATATTTAATGCTTCATTATAGTCGACGCCAGTTCTCGCGCACAGGTTCCATATGGATTGTAGCATCGCAGGATCTCTCACGGCTTGGGGAAACCTTCATCCAGCAGTAGATTGATCGTGCCTATTGACGATGACGATGTTTCCGCATCACTGCATGCCGAACTGCCTAACGGCGCAGAATCAGAATCAGAATAGTTGAACTAGAAGTGTCCGATGAGCTATGAAGCTCTATTTCACAGATGTTCCAGTTGGGGTGGGTTAGAAAGTTTCTACTGCTACAACAACAACAAATAATACCAAAACGGCAAAGTGTAGGAACGCTAAGCAAGTCACGAAATATAATATCTAATATATATAAGTACAACATGCATAAGTACATCAACAATAAGTGGCAGAGAAGACAATTGTGTGATCACAAATCTCAACAACACAATTCATATGCAAGTCCCACTGAGTGTGCAGTGCCTGAATCTTCAAGGCTGGCTGCAATTGATGTTTAAAATCAGTGTTTAAGCACAACATTTACCTACTGTGGCACACTCCCCTGTCAAACTTGATCACATTTGCGTTTTTCATTAATTTCCCACCACCAGAGGCAGACGGACTTGCTCCTGCCATGGGATTAGGGAATTTCCACCTCGGGCTCAGAGCTGCTATCGGGAAATACATCACCACCTCAAATTCCATGGAGCTGGGAACCCACTTCGGCTTGCGGTTTTTTTCTAAATTTTGTGCCACTTTTGAATTCCCTCCCATCGTTTCTCTCCCCCCCCCCCCAAGTTTTTTGCAGCCCTTGCTCAAATCGATTAACGTCTTGACACCTTCAATAGTGCCGTTTGTTGCTGACCTCTTGGAATTTTGAACCGTTGGGCCAGTGGTTAAGAAGAGAGGGGAAAAAACACATCCGGTTTAATTGTGACATCAACATTTGAGGTGCGTTTCGCAATGGCGTCAATTCGCCAGTCGGGCGATCTCGTGTCGTCACTCCGGCTCTGATCGTCCTTTCTCACCGACTGCTCAACTCTTCCGCACTACCGTTGGCATCGTCCTCTACCAGCCCTGTAAATGGGGGGAGGGGGGGGTGTGGGGGGAGGACGATGACGATGCAACCAGCATTAAAAATACTTCAAACATATTTAACGCTAAACGGAATGAGTAATGCCCAGAACCGCTTTTGTCCCGTCGTGCACTCTGCTCTACAGCTCTCACGGCCTGTGTGTGTGTGTGCGTACGAGGAGGACAGGCTGATTAAACATGACCGACGGTGTTACATTTTTAACTAAGACTTTAAAAGGGGGGGTTGAACCTTCACCGGGTGGGGGGGGGGGGTGAGGGGGGCTGAATCCATCTTCAGCCCCCTTTCAGCCCTGTCTTCGCTTCACGGGACTCCCCTCCACCCACGCCCACCATCGTCTTCTCTCCCACACTTCAGATGTCCTCCGTCCACGCCCAATCCTTCTGAAATCCCCGCGACAAGTCCGTGCACATCGGCAATTACTCTCCCCGGGGAGCACCGCGCCCGCCGATGTGGCTGTTTGGTGGCAGATAAAAGTCACCGTGGTGGCGTTGCCGCGGTGGCGCGGCGGTTTGCGCGGCATGCCGTGACCGCGGTGGGCCTGAGTTCGATTCTCGGTCATGTTGAGCGTCTGTGACGTGTACAGCTTCCCTGGCTTGTGCGGATTTTTTTTTTGTTAGGGTTGCTTCCGTTTGTTGGCTCTGCACGATGTCTGACGTTTCCGCTGCACGTTCTGGGAGCTTCTTCAGGAACCCCCTCCGGAAGAGGCTCCCAAGCACAACGGAGCGAAAGTTATCGTCGGGCCGTGAGCGTCAAGAACAAAAAACCCCCTCGGTGTGGCGAGCGCGAGATATCCGAACCGCTCCCGCCAATCAGCACTGACCGGCGTGGTGAAGTACGGTCAACCGTGCCCCACATGACCACCCCGGCGTGGAGAAGAGTGAGCTTCGCCGCAAAAACGTTGTTTACTCGCACGGGCGAAGGTTGCAGTTGCATCGCGCGTTAAAATACATCGGTGGTGGACTATTTACAACCGAACAATAATAACGGCAATGGCCTTAAACTTTCAAACTGTTAATTTCTCATCTTCGCGCTCTATTTTCATTCGCGCCAGAGTTCGCAAGAATTACACTTTCAGAGGTGGCATTATAGAATGCTAAAAGCATTTGAAAGCAAATAACTGGGATTGCGAGTGCATTGTCCTTCAATGGCATTTTCCGAAATGTAACGTTGTCTCCGACCCAAGGCGATGCAAAGTCTGCATGAGAGCGCGTCCTTGAAAATGACCCATGTTGCCGTGCGCATCTTGTGTGTGTGTGCGTGCACGCGTGCACGTGTGCACGTGTGCACGCGCGCGCACACACGTTTATACCTTAACAGATGCAGGCAGAGAAATGTAAATGGGTCACCAGCTGGGCAGGCCGAGAGCACGAGACATTTAATCATAGCCTGTTGGAGAGCCACCTGTCCGTCCACTGGCCGTCGTCTTGGCGTTGCGATTCCCCGTTCGAGCGCTGGGGGCCGGTTCGTTCCGCCGCGCCCCCCCCCCCCCCCAGCCCACGTGCGCCGTGGTATAATGCAGTTAGGGGCTTGGGGTCTGCGCCTTAATCCCTGGTGCCTGCGCGTGGAGCGGAGTCGTTCGGTGAGGTCGGGAGTTTTGCAGGTGACTTGAACGGGGGTGGAGGGGGGGGTTTGTCTTCGAGCGTTGATCTCTGCGACCTCTGTGACCTCTGTGACCTCTGCGTGCTCGTGTCCCGTACTCCCTGCTGCCTCCTGCTCTTTCACCTCGTCCTTATCAGCATTGTCCTCATCATTCATGAACGGTGGTGAGATGTTAACTACCTTGCCTGGTATGCAGGAGGTCGTGGGTTCAATCCTAGACCTGACGCCTGCTGTATGTTCTCCTCGTGGTCCCGTGGATTTTTCTCCAGGTCCTCCGGATTTTCCCACCACATTTAGAAACATGCGTTTCAAATATTTGGCTGCTACACAGCTTGCTTCTGAAAAAGAGCAATATTTCTCCGTGGGCTCTACCTGGTAAAATAAAAGTTTTTGAAAGTTTTGGCTTTAATCATCGGCCATCGTCAAGCTGCTGCTGGATGAAGTGCCGCCACCATCGCATCTCACGACCCCGCGCTGTAATAATTCACCCTGCACACGTCAAACTTCTGTTTTTATTGCATATCTGGTTGCAATCATTTTTTTGTTATAGTCGTAGACAGTCAGCTTTGTAGCCCTTCCGGAACATGTACATGAGTCACTCACGGATGGAGTGTGTCTTCATGTATATTTGTATGCTGTAAAATCGCCACTGTGCAATGAGTGTACGTCATCATAAATGCATGCATATGTAATGTACACATGCACATTCTGGATGCACGAAATGTATTGGCCACAACTGCCACAAGGCAATACTTGGCATTCACGATGTTGGTGCTGATCCCGTGAATGTGAGTGTGTGTGCAGTGGGGAGCGGTAGTGTAGCGGTTAGCGTGCTGCGCTACGAACCCGGAGACCCGAGTTCAATTCCCGCTCACAGCCAACACCAGTGATGATTATCTGAACCGAGTATGGGCCTCTCCTAGGTCGACTCAGCCTCAAATGAGTACCTGGTGTGGTGTGTAAACATCGCCACCAGGGAGACAAAGTCGGCCGGGCGTGGTGTTGCCACCCACCCCCTTGTGTGCCGTGCTGGCCTCCATAGGTGCTCGCTAACAGCACTTGCTCCAACAGTCTGTTTAGGCTATACAGGGGATCTTTGTCTTTGTGTGCAGGTTATAGCTCAATAGGGTAGCAGTTAGCACATTGTGCTTTCAACCCACAAACCCGAATTCAATTCCTGTTAATGGCCAACATCAATGAAGAATATCTGAACCGGTCTTGGACCTCTGCTAGGTCAACTCAGCCTTAAAGGGGATCCTGGTGTGTAAATGAGTACCGGCTCGGTGCGGTGACGGCAACCAACACCCACCCTCTCGTGCGTCGCTAACAGCACTTGCCCTGACATTCTACGCAGCCTACAAGGGGGACGTTTGTCTGCGTGGGTGCGTGCGTGCGAGGCGAGTGAGCGCGAGTGAGGTGCAGTGAATCGACAGTGTTGACCTTCGCCGCCGACCTTGTAGCCACGCGCACGCACCGTGGGTTAATGTCGTCGTCGCCCCCCCCCCGCGCCCCCACCCCACCGCCCCCCACCCCCTTATCCGAGACAAAAGGGGCTCAATCGCATTTCGTGAGCTCTCGCGGTCTGCTGTCGTTTTGAGATCTTTGTCCTTGACTCTGGGGGACCACCTCCAGGAGGGCCTCACTCCGAGCCACCTCAAGAAGGCCAAGCTCATGTTCTTCTACTCGCGCTACCCCAGCTCCAACATGCTCAAGATCTACTTCTCAGACGTCAAGGTGAGGGCTCGCGGTGACACGCGTGGGTGGCGGGTGGGGAGGGCGGGCGGGCGGGGGGCACGGGCTGGGGGGCACCCCCTCAAGATGGACCCACTCCGGTGGCATTCATCTCATTAGGACGCTCACAAAAGGACCTCTCCATAGTTGAGAAGATTTTAATTTATGGAGATCAAACAGTTTATTTTTTTAGTTGACTACATTTTGGCGTAGCTGAGAATTAGTTGAATCATCAGCTTTAAATGGACAGAGAGAGAGAGAGAGAGAGAAAAAAATCTGGCGCTTCATGTTGCTCTGCTGGGCGAACGCAACTCTAATTTGATGGCGCTCTCACGGGACCCTTCCAGAATGTGTTTGTTTGGATAAAATGTTATCGCTTAAAGAATGTTATTACCACTCCGCGACTCTGCAGGGACGATCGCTTGTGCGGGTGGCCCCCCTTGCTCGCTGCGGAGACGCACACTCAGCCGTATTGTGCGGGTCTGCAAATTCAAAAAACGTGCTGCCGTAATTGGCCAATTTGTTTTATAGGGTTTTTTTTTTTGCCAGAGCGAGAGCTTTCATTTTGCAATACTTAACATCTTTGCAAGATTTGGCACCGGTGGGGGAGGGGGGGGGGATGGCGTTCACGACGGTTTTTGGCAGGACATCACGCTGCCCAAACGTTATGGCGACTTTCGTTTCTCCGACTTTTCTCACACGGACTTTTTGTTGAGGGCACTTTGTCGCACGCGCATGCACGCGGCATTGCGACGTGCGGCGTCGTTACGAAAACAAAACAGAAAGCAACTTCCACCTTGGAATTCGTGCAACTTTGCAGATCACCCAGCGAGCGTGCAGCCCGCGATCGGGGCGCTGCGAGTTCAAATCCCTGGTTCGGGGTTCGAACTCCGGCACATCTTCGTCTCCAGGGTCGGCAAAAATTTTGCATCACTTTGTTTGGAAGGTCACCAGGTGGGGGGTGGCCCAGTGGAGAGAAACTCTCGCCATGGGATGGTGGAATTCCCACCACTGGCTCAGGTGTGTAAATTGGATGTTGAGCACCAATGCCTCCCATGCTCATGATGTCACTTGGACTTTTTAAAATCATTCTGCGATTGAACTATTTGACGAAAAGCGTGCGTAGCATTACTTGGTGGCTGCTGCTGCTGCTGGTGCGTTGGCAGTGGTGCACAAGCACAGCTGAACAACAACAACAACAACAAACTCGTCGATCTCGCCGTGGTGGCCTTAAACGTACAGTGGCCGACGACAGCTCTTCTTCATTAGCACGAGCGATTATGTTTACGCTTTGGTTTTTGTTCGGACCATGGTTGGTGGTATTTTCCTGCGCGGCCGTTGCGTAGCCGTGGCCACCGCACGTGGCCGGTGTCGCCGCGCGGTGCGCTGGAACTCCGGCAGGAGTGGGATGTTGTTGACGCGCTGTCGCACTGGCCGTCTTTATGCGCAAATAGCAGAATCTGAGCGCGCGAGCCCGTGCCCTCGGAAAAAAAAAATATCTGGCTGAGTGCAGCAATTTTGCGCAATAAAGATGCAAGTGATTTGAGAAGGCAGCTGCCTTGAAGGTGGCTGGGTTGCCCCACCCTCTCCGACCCCCAACCCCCCTCCCTTGCCATGCCCCCCCCCTCACCCCCCGCCCCCTCCCTTGCCATGCCCCCCCCTCACCCCTCGCCCCCTCCCTTGCCATGCCCCCCCCCTCACCCCCCACCACCGTGCCCCTCTCACCCCTCTCGCCGCACCCTTCTCAAACACTCGATCCCTTTCAATTAGAGCCGCGAATAAAACCAGACTCATTTCTCACCACGGCCAAAAGCGACAGCGTGATCTGTAATTATTTACAGATTTCGCCCCCCCGCCCTTCCCCCCCATTTCACCCTCTAACGCTGTAAAACAGAAGGACCCTGTGAAGTGAAATGGATTAATTTTCATGTTTAAAGCAACTGAAAAAAGCCAGTAAGTTCACCAGCAAACTGGCTGGTTAGTAGGAATAAGTTTAGGATTAAAACATCTCGGGAGTTTGCATTTTGAAGGACGGTCTCAGATCTCTGTTTGGTTTTCGTATGTCCGGATCATCTTCACGATGTAATAACAGACTGCCATGTGCCCTCGTCCTCATGAAAGTCACATCATCTGATGATGCCATGTGACATCACTTGTGGCAGGCAGAGCAGTGCTTGAGTGACCTGTACGTATGTACGCTGAACTTCTTTCGCACCATACGTAGACGACCTTGCTGATCGGAGGTGCGGGGAGGGGGGGACAACGAGCAACGTCACTTCCCGTGATGTCCCGTTTTTGGAGACAGCCGGTCGGAAATAACAAAACATATTTTGGCTTGCCCGAAATTTCCTAGCTATGCCGAATCTTTGGATTTTTTTCCCGAATCATCCGAAATTCAGGAACGCATCCCGAGCATTTGAGTGAGCGAGCGGGCGAGCGAAGGAGGGGGGGGAGGGGTGGAGCAGGAGAGCAAAGAGACAGAACGACTCGAGTCCTCGCTGTCGTATCGCCCACGGGCTGACAGGCAGCACGCAGTGACACAGCGAGAGACGCCCGGCCATCGGTCTGTGGAATTAAGATGTCAGTGTGATTGTTTAGTGTGCTCTTTCGATAGGCCCGCGCTGAATATGTATCTTCGGGAAGGTATAGAAAAAAATGAAAATGAGGGAGGCGAGAGAATGGGAGACGGGGGGAGAGAGAGAGAGATGGGGCAGTCGCGCAGGAGAGGTGGATTACGGAGGTGGGGGCGGTGGTGGTAGAGGCGGGAGGGGGTCCCTAGGGGGGGACCCACCGCTTCTGTTCGGCTCAACAAAAGCGGGCTGCTTGAAAGAGTACTCGTTTTGCTGTCATATCAGTGCCAGGCACGCATCTTTAAAAAAAAAACCACGGGCACCAGATTTGTTTGGAGTGCTTAACAAGGGCATCGCTATTAAGGCATTTTACCAGGATGTGCGTTGCCTTTTGAAAAGGAGAATGATGAATACACAAAAGGCTTAGTGCAGCACATTCTACTGCGCCTGTTCGTTTAGATCACAGAATTACGCCGGTTTTCAGGGGGAGAGAAAAAAAAGCCCCTTTGATTGACAACACACTGGCAGGATTTCATTTTGAAGCAGAGTCGAGTTTTCTCTTTTTTCAAATTAGGCCACACTGAATGAACCGTGTATATAAATGCCAATTTCATCCAAGGGATGATTTGGAATATAATGATTTACTTTTGACAAACATTTGAAACTTTTAATTTTTTTTCGCCCGGCACACGCGCACGCGTGTTTTAGCGAAAGTGGTGGATCTACACGACGGCACTGTACGCGGAACCCCGGCCGTTTCACTCGCAACCCCCCCCCCCCCCCCCGCTTGCTCCCTCGCCCTCCTTCTCCTCACCCCACCACCTCCCTCTTACGAAAATCAAGGGGGGGGGAGGGCGGCGTCGAAACAGTGAACAGACGGAGCAAATGCAGACAAGTTGGAATGAAACTGGATACACGTGCTCGGTCAAAGCCACTCTCAGTCCCCGCTCTTAATCAGATCCGTGCGGGCATCTGGCGGTGGCGAAATCGGACAAACAAGACGCGAGCGCGCTGGGTTAAGTGCATGTTTGAACCCCCACGCGCAGTCGAAGCAATTTCTGGTGACGGCCGTCCACTTCTCCTTTTAATTAGCTGCGGCAGAAGCCCACGCGCGGCACAACAAAACAGCAATTACAACGCAGATGCGGAGTTTGGGCCAAGCCGCTGCTGCCCCCCCCCCCCCCCTTGATTGCACTTCTTGCCACTGCCATTTCCATCCATTACCCTCTGGCCAATGCATTTTGACGCATTAAAACTCCTTAGAATGCCCGCACAAAGGGACTCAAGTACCGGCTCTGTCATTACGCCCCATTAGGTTGCGTTGGCCTCAGCTGGCAGCAGCGATGACACTCAGCTGCGAATAATTTTTCATAACATGGACGTTTTCCTGGAGATAAGTGATAAGCGGGGGGGGGGGGGGGGGGTTGAAGGAGCATGGTAATAGCACAGACAATGCAAATCGCCTCCGAGATGGCGTATTTAGAGTTCGCTGCGAGGGGCCAGAGGGAGGGATGGGGGGCAGGGGGCGGTGAGTGGGGAAGGGAATACGTAAATGAAAGCACAACAAAAAACTTTATTTCGCAAATGTGGTCATTGGCAGGGTTCCATGTGGTAATGAATGCTTTAAAATCAGGCACTATGAAATTGCTGCGTTTTAAATCAAAGTAAAAAACAAAAACAGACCCGGAGCAAAACAAACCAATATATTATGTAAATATTGCTTATCCAGAGGAAAGTATTCATCAAGATGCGCTTTGGCTCCGGAGTCCTTCAAACACCTTACATCACCGCAACCTCCAGTCGTCGTCATCATCGTCGTCGCGGTCGCGTCGCTCGCGGCTCGCGTGCCCCGCGACTCTCGTGCTACACACGGCGCCGTCGCCCTGTGGTTGCCCCGCCTCGTGGCGCACCGAGCACAGCCAGCTGATGGCGCACGGCAACGTCGAGCCTCCGGCTCTTCCACCGCCAATGCTGCTGCCGCCAATGTCACCGCTGTCGCCGCCGTCGCCACCAACACCACCATCACTGCTGCCACCAACACCACCATCACTGCTGCCACCACCAAGACCACCACGACTACCGCCAACACCAAATGCCACAATCACTGCTGCCCCAATCAGCGCGACGGCCCCCAACAACACCATCGCTGCTGCCACCACCACCAACACCAACAATGCCACCTCCATTATTACCACCACCACTTCAACCATCACCGCCGCTGCCACCACGATGATCACCACCACTGCTAACAAGCAAAAACCAACACCACGGTCACCAACACCAGCACCGCTACCACCTGCCGAAAACAGCCCCAAACACCACTGCCACCGCTGCGGTGACCCCCCTGAGCCTCCTCTCTCTCTGCGCACTGTGCCGAGGGACGCCGGGGGTCCTCCGACGCTCCTCGCCGGGAGGTCCTCGCCATTAGTGTCTGAGCCCACCTCGGGCGTCCGCCAGCGCCGGTGTTAAGCCTCAAATACACCGGGCCTCCCGGGAGCCGTTCTGCGCAGATAAAATAGGAGACTCATTTATAGCCGCGCAGATTAGATAAATGGAAAGCGGTTATAAATCGGGCGCGGAGGCACAGCTGGCGCATGTAGCGCCGGCGTGCGTGCGCGAGGAAGACCCGGTGGTGGTGTACGGGGGGGGGGGGGGGGGGGGGGGCGTCTTGCGAGTCGCGGCTCGGAGTGCGTAAAATACGAGCGACGTGAAAGATGCGCCGCTAACTCGGTGACGGGCCTGGCGTAATAACCGTTTTCGAGGGGTGTCACTCCTTGTTTGTTCGTTCGTCTGTCCGTCTGATCGTATTTCCAGGTAGCCGGGCGCCGCGCGCGTCGTGTGAAAGCGGCGCGATTGTTGTCGCGAGATGATACGGTCCACAATAAATGTTTCGCGGTGCGAAAGAAATATTCTTTTGCACGTGCGTGCATAAATGTATGTGCGCGTATATAAAACTGCGCATTGTTTTTTTTTGGCCCATTTTTGTCTGGGCGCAATTAAATTACACATCGTTTTGGTTCCTGTCTGGGAATAGTTGGGTGCTTATCTGGTGACATCAGCCTTGCTGATGCTGCTGATGATGCCGATTTTAACTGGGCCTGTACCAATTCACGTCCTCTGCCGCACGATGAACTGTCGTGGGTCAGGGGGTAACTCTTCCATTTCCGAATCGACTCTTTGTAGCGTTTGACCCAAGTGACCGATAGGGCGAGACCAGTGGCGTTAAACTGGAGCCGAATCTGAAATCGCAATCGTTGCATGATCTTGCTTGATGCAGACCTTCCACGGGCGCGATCATTGTTTGATTAATTTTTGGCCGATACTTTGTAAAAAAATTGTCTCAGTCAATGAACCTATGAATCACTTCTGTCCCTTCGACTTCGACTCTCTGACCAACCCAAGCTTCAAAACCGGTCCCGAGCTTGCTTGCATTGAACCGATGCTGCTGCCGCTGACATTCACTCCCAGAAGGCTATGCAGCGCGAAGGGTTGCGCGTACACATTTTTTTTTCAACTTAATTTTGTTCCATTCTGTGGCCGCACAAATATACGTAAAAGAGGAGGCGTCGTTTTACACCGTTACGGCAAACAAAAATCCTCCACAACGACGCGCGACAATGAATCGGCGTCGAGCGTCGTTGGAAGAAGAGGAGCGTGGGGAAGAGCGTTGGCGAGAGCAGAACAATGGTGGCTCGGCCGCTCGCGCTCAGCCGCGCTCCGTGCGCCGGGCAGCGCTGGCGGGGAGGGGACGTGGAGGACGGGGGCGAGCGTCCCCTGCCCACGCCCGGTCCCTGCGCTGTCTGGTGGGCATTTACCAGATGCCAGATGGGATGGCCCCTGGGGATTAGGGCTGGCAGGAATTAGTGCCGGCCTGGGTGGCACAAAGGCAAACCGTCGCCCTCCTACACCTGACCTCAATCCGCTCTCCCGCACGGCATGCCCACATCACACAGACAATGGCACGACGACGACGACAACTGATTGGGGGCAAAGAGGGGAAAAAGAATGTAATGCGAAAACAAAGCTACCGCGCATACGACGTGTTTTAGTCCTCATCGTGCTGTTGTTGGATTATTTTGAAAGAAATGTATATGATGGTGGTTGCGGTGATGATAGCAGCGGCCTTGTCGTGTTGTGACAGGTTGCGTTATTAATTGATGCCGCGCGACAAATGCGTGTCGTATTTTTCTCTTTCCGCTGCCTTTGAGGGCTTCACGCGAGAGAACACCCCATCATAATAATAACAGCGATACACCGACGCGTCTGCAGTTGTATTCTATTACTGCACGCGGTCTTTTGCCAAACGTCCGCGTTAATGAACATGTAATTATCTTTGTGTTTTTTTTTACAAACGAACACGTCCAATTTAGCGCGCGTCCCGGGAGCTCAAGGTTTTTTTTTTATTTCACGATAAAAAAATAAATTTTGCTCTCGTTGACGCCGCCTTGCCTCCCCCCTCCCTCTCCTCCGCGCCCGCAGTTCAACAGGTGTATCACGTCGCAGCTCATCAAGTGGTTCAGCAACTTCCGCGAGTTCTACTACATCCAGGTGGAAAAGTTCGCGCGGCAGGCGATCACGGAGGGCGTGACCAACGTCGACGAGCTGAGGGTGACGCGTGACTGCGAGCTCTTCCGGGCGCTCAACGTCCACTACAACAAGGCCAACGACTTCGAGGTGCGTGCGTGCGTGCGGTGGCGCACCTCCAGCGGCCAACCCGCGGGCCCGCCTCCCCCCAAACCCCCTCTCGGCTTGCTCCGGTCTCTCTCCCACTCTCTGTCACACTCCCACTGCCGCCCTCCTTAAATGAAGGTCGCACATTTCTCTCTATCTGTTACCTTTTATATTCCTCATCGTTCCCCCCCCCCCCCCCACCGGTTCTCTCCCGGCACCGCGTCACGAGACTAGACGATCTGTTTGTAACTCTCGCAGAACAGTGCAAGTCATTAGTGTTGAGAGAATGGTCCGTGGAAGCAGATACCACAGAGCTACTGGAGTAAGAGTTTCCTGCAAATGACCTGAGCCCCCCCTGCTGAAGGCTCGGCCTCGTATTTAGATTTTTATCACCTAAGGTTTTTCTTGGGTTGGCTGCGTCTTGCCCCCCTTCGGTTTGTGTACTCGCCCCCCTTTTAAACAAGGCTCTGCTATTGGGTTGCCTCTGTGCTACACAGTAGGAGCCAGAACCATCCCACTCGCGTGTGCCACTAAGGTTCACGTTCATCACGTGACACTAAACGGTCAAACTTAGAACATTTGAATTCTCAGATACGGATATTTGTGTAAGCCTTCATGTTTGCTGAATGTCATCTCACTTCCACTTGAGAACCCAGTTTAATCGCGGGCAGCAGCTGAAGCCTGACTTCGAAAGCCAGGATCTGAGCGACGCCAGTTCAGCGCTCCGGCCATCTCTCTTCCGGTTTCTATCGGACCCCTTGAGCCGGCTCGTCTATTCATTCATTCATACGCTTCGTTTTGTTTCGCTCACACGCACGTACGCGCGCGCACGCTCGCTCGCCTTGCAGCCGTTTGAATACAGCGGAAGGCCACTTGGCTCTGTGGCGAGGCAACTCGGCCTGTTCACGGCATCCAAATAATGATTTTAATCTAAAAGTATGCTGCTGTAGCATCACCTTTTTATGGGTGCCAAGGGGTTGAGACACCCCTACCCTGGCTGATTGTTGTTCATTGATGGAGGAGGGTGGATGGTGTGGGGGCGGGTGGCTTGGCTTTAGGACTGGATTTAAAAGCAATGTCGCTTTAAAAAAAAAAAATGGGGGTGGGGGGAAAAAACATAAGCCAAGGAGAATCGAATTATTAGAGAAGCGTTCCGCGCGCCGGAAAGCAAGGGCGCGCGTACGTGCGCCTGCGGCTACCGCACGAGCCCTCGGTCGCTCTCTCACCGGCGGTGTTGCGAAAGACGCCTCGCTTGGCGGCGCGATCCCCCGCGGGGACGCGCGACGCCGAGAAGGGTGTCTTCTTCCGATCGGCACCGAATTATTCCGACCAGAGGTCGCAAACGGGTTTTGATTCCTTACCTGTACCCGGCCGCACCAGGGTCGCAAACGGGTACCCGTACCCGGCCGTACCCGTAGGGTACGGGTACGGGTAGGGTACCCAGCCGGGTACGGGTAGGGTACGGGTATCGGGTACCTGATTGCGACCTCTGGGATGAAGCCATATTGCAGGCGTGGGTGGGTTGATTCTAGGAACTTGAATTGTGAGAAGAGACAAGACGTTGGGAAATGAGTGACAAACGGTGACTCACCAGTGACTCACGGTCTGCCCGTACCCGGCCGCACCAGGGTCGCAAACGGGTACCCGTACCCGTACCTGGCCAGGTACGGGTAGCCGGGTATCCGGTAGGGTACGGGTATCGGGTACCCGGTTGCGAACTCTGATTCCGACCGGCACAGAGTACTCCCGCAGAAGAAAGCAGCGGATGAGGGACGCGTGGCCGCCCTCTGTGTGTGTGCGCGCGTTTGCAGCCACGCGTCCGTGGCTTCTGCGGTTCGTGCGACGGTGCAGAGTGCGTGCCCGCTAAAATCAATGCTACTGGTGGGTGGTGTATTTCCAGAGGCCCACAGAGGTTGACGGCCCAACAACAACAGCAAAACTATTTCGTACGTTTGTGAGGACGGACGGACGGCCGTTGACGAATTATTTAACGGTCTTGCCGTGCTGCACGAGTTTGGTTTATGCTTTTCTGTTTAGCGCAAGTTTCTGTTATACATGACCTTGTGTGGTATTGAAGGTTTTGCAGCGTGGGGAGGAGGGTTAAAGGGCATTGCCTAAAGATTATGATTTATTTAGAAAATTAATGAATTCATAAAATTGCCTATTGAGGTCCTGAGACGTGGAAACCGTTAAGTGACATTTGTGTGCGTGCGTGCACGCGTGTGCGTGTGCATTTAGACCGTGTGCATGCCCCGCGCTTGGTGCTGCCAGAGTTTGATCGTCTGGAACGTCAAAACCCCCTCTTACTGTATTCTCTCCTCCGTAATCCTTAACGGAACGTCCTGTAAATTTAACTTTGTACGGCATAATCCGTACCAGCATAAAATCCATAAGTCAACTTTCTAGCTGTTGTATTTATTTATATATTTAGTTCCCCCCTCCCCCCCCCCCAGCAGATATTCCATGGATTATAATGCAGAAGCTAAATCATGGAAGATTTTTTTTCCCCCCCATGGCATCACCGCTAGGGTCTGCTTGGTTGGATTCACAGCCCCGCGGAGTGCAACCGGTTCCAGCTGATGACCTGGAGGATTTTCTCTCCCTCTTCTCCCCCCCCCTCCATCTCTCGCTGCCCTACCCTCCTGCCTTTAGCCCAAAGCACACAACTAGCACATCAAATCACATCTAATCCCTTCCCATCCTAATTCCCTTTCTTAATCAGTAGTGAGTGTCCTTAATTTCACCACAGACGCGCGTGACTGGGATGTTATGGCATGCAGCGGGACGACCCGTGCGCGATTCTAAGCTCGGTGGAGTTGGAGCCGTGTGTGTGTGTGTGTGTGTCCGTGTGTCCATCCGTGCGTCCCTGTCTGTCCTTCCGTGAGCGCGTGTGTATGTATTTCCGTTGCTCGATGGAGTGCCGGGCGGTCCCAGTGGCGTGGCATGACGTGGCGTAGCGCGGTTGGCATGCGCCAACCCGATAACTACGCCACTGCACTACCCACCACCATCGAAGTGGCGTCGGGTGGTTGGCATTGGCCCTGAGAGTAAGGAATTAAATATGGGTGGCCCCTTCCCCATTCCATCTAATCTCCTGCCCTTTTAGTAGCCCGGTGCCAAGGCCCCCACCGACCCAGTGTCCACCAGTTGCAGTTGCACCGCCTGCACACTCGATTGGTGCACCACTGGGCAGCGCACACCTCCATTGGCAGTCCACGGCCAGCGGTGGAAATTCCACATTCTGGCTGCAGGAGCCAGTTGTTTACTCATCGGACAGAATCCTGGTTTACTGCCCACAAAGTGGTACTAATTTTATCGACCACAAAGAGATCGTGTTGGTGGTGAGATAATTCGACCCGTGACCGGGATTCGAACTTGCGACCTTTCCGAACGTGACAGGCAGGAGCTCGGGGCACGCTACCGCAACCCCGTATGAACACAACGGCACGACCACAAAAAAATAATAGCGAACCACAGAGAAACCGAAATCAAGAAACCGCGCGGCACCTGAAGTGGTCCTCGCATGCAAGCACTTTAATCTTCGTACATCGCGCGCGCGTGACAAATATACGTCCGCGAGCCGCTCAAAAGCCCCGGGAACGGCCACTTCGTTCGGAGAGACCCGCGCGGACCCCCCCCGCTTTTAGCCGTCCCATGACGCTTGGCACGAAGGCTTTCGTCGCCACCCTCCCTGCAAAAAGGGACCCATTTCATCCGAGTGACACTTTGGAGCCCAAGCCGGTTCTTTGAAGATGCGGATGTTTTTTTTTTAGCCCTTTGAAGGCAAAAGGACTCTGCTATCGTTGCCTGCGCGGTGTCTCTCGCCGGTGTGACCTTGGTGTTTGTGGCAAATTGTTCGCGACAGTGAAGCGAAGTGCCTTTTTCCTATTCTCACTGTCATATCGCCTTCCCCTTAAATAGCCTTGATAATAGAACGAGGGGGTGGAGGAGGAGAGAAAAAAAATATTTTTTTGAATGTTTTTTTTACATTCACTCATGCAGCAGACCAGCCTTCTGCCACTGGTGTCCTTCAATCCTGACTCACCCGCATGTGCTGGTCAATAATTACCTTGGAGAGGGGGCGGGGGGTCGGGGGGAGGGGTGCAGGATGGGGGGGGCGGGCGGGCGGGGGGGACAAAAAACAACAACACGGAAAAAGTTTTGACAAACGGCAAGGAATAAAGCCAGGACCCATATCAAACGGAGAGGGCCCTTGCCTGTAAACATCTGGCAGCGCACCAGGATTGGTTCCAGCAAGCTTGACTCTGTCGACGAGACGCTGGATGTCGAAACTGGTCCACAGTTTTGGCTGTATGTGAAATCCAATGCTGTTGAAGTGATACGCACTCCCATAAGGCTGTGCGCCCGAAGGGAGGCAGTAAAAAAATTGTTTAACGTGCGGCGAAGGAGGCGAATGATCCACTTATTCATCACCATCAGCCATTTTCCATCCACTGTTGGATGAACGTCTCCCGCCACGCCGTCGCTATCCCTCCACGGTCCTGCGTCGCCAGCGTCCACCTCTCACCCTGCACGCGAAACCAAATGTCACCACCACCCCGCCTCTCGCAACGCGCTCTCCCGCACGCGCCTGCCACTCCGTCACCGGCCTCGTCCGTCGAGCCATCAATCCCGTGTCTTGAGCCAAACCAAGCACCCCCCCGCCCCCGATTGCCCGCTCAACTGTTACATTTCTCTATGGCTCCATCCGTGCGATTTGTTTGAAAAAACACGTTCCAAACGATCGTCGCGTTCTGTGCCCATCTAACGTGCCCCCCCCACCCCCGTCGTCAGACCCAACGCGGCCGGTGGGATCCGTCCGTCGCATCCCCTTGATCTCCTCTCCAAGTGCCGTTTTTTTTTCTCATGGGCCAGCTCCCCCCAAAGGCTGCGTAATTAGTCACTGCTCAGATTATAGTGAGGGCGTTTCGAAGCCCCCCCCCCACCCCTCCCCAACGGACCCCCCCTTTTGCATTTGAGCCATTGTTTGTTATGCCCCTCTC